GAGCTGTGCCCCTTCCCGGGGTCCCGGCAGAGCAGCCCTTGGCAGCCGCACTGTGCAGGTTTCCAAGGACGAACGAACTGTTCCCTTCCTAACCTTTTCTTCTGCTTCTCCTGGGCCCTTCCCGCAGTGGCCCCATGTGGGCTTACATCCTGGCCCATGAGAACGCTGTCCCTCGCTGGAGATCCCTGATGGGACCCACCAAAGTGTTCCGAGCCCGACACAGTGACCCGGACTCCATCCGAGGAGCCTACGGCCTCACGGACACCAGGAACACCACCCATGGCTCAGGTGGGCCTGTCCTGCTTGGCTGGTGCTCAGGGAGGCAGGAACGATGGTGCTTTGTCTGCCTTTGCTTTAGTTCTGGGGCTCCACGTGGACGATGTGTTCCCTGGTGCAGACTCTGCGCACCAGGTGCCTTTGGAGCCCAGCACGTGTTCGCGGTGCCAGACAGGCATCTCCCATCACCTTTTCCTCTTTTCTGACAGACTCACCCGCCTCAGCCAGCAGAGAAATTGCCTTTTTCTTCCCCGAGTTCGCGATGAGCGGCGCTGTGCGTAGCAGGCGAGCCGCGGCTGCGCGGGGCGAGGTGTCTACGCCCGCGAGCGGCCGTGCACCGCGTGCTCCGGGCAGACGAGGCACAGGGGACCTGAGTTACCTGCGGTAGGGCTTGCTTTGCTGAGCTGGCAGCACCTGTGGGTGCTCTGTTGGGGCACCAGACGGAGAGCTGTGCCACGCTTCAGGGACTGTGGGAGAGGGAGAGCCTCGTGTGCGTGATGTCGTGCTCCCCAGGGTCACGTTGTGGGGCAGCGGGCGGGTGCTGGGTGCTGTAGGAAGAGCTCCTCCAGCAATGCTCCCGCTGACAGTCCGGCCATGCAGCTCACTGGCCCTCCAGTTTGGTTGGGTGGGAATAAGACAGGTGAGTTGGTCCAGGGCCAGGTGGATCAGAGGTTGCTTGTTCCAGTTGGATTGCAACTGCTTTTGCTGGTTGTAGGCCTCATGTTCTCTGTTGGCTGTTCCCGCTGTGCTTTAGGCTGAAAGCGGGAAAAAGAGCCCAAAAAAGGCATCAGCAGGGCAAGATGAACCGTGCTGTCCTCACTCATGTGCAGCCAGGTTGGAAAGCGAGGCTGTCCTGGGGTTTGTGTCCTGACTTGTGTCAGGTGGAGGCACAGCTGGAGCTGCTCCCGGCAGGAATGCAGCACATCCCATGAGCTCCACTGAGCCTGGGCTGACCTGCTGCAGCACAAAGGTTTGGAAGCACCTGGCAGGAAGGTGTGGAGAAGCCCAGTGCCTTTGAGGATCCTCTGGTTTGTGCTTTTGGTTTGCCTGGGGCACAAGAGCTGCAGATTTGGTGGAATTCAGTAGTGGCTGTGGAGCTCTGGATTTCCTGGATTGACAGTCCAGGGCTGGATAATGAAGTTGACTGCAGGTGGCAGGGGCTGAGAAGCTTTGCCAGGGGCTCCTCACGTGAGGCCTCGTGACAAAACACCTGAAGGCAGCTCGGAGCCCTCGGTGTCTGTGGCCTCACTGGGCAGTTCTGTGTCCTTGGGAAAAGGGATGGACAAAGCCATTTAGTTGTCTGGATAAGTGATGGAATGATGACATGGTGGTGCAGGAGGGCTGGGTGTGGAGGTACAGAGCCAGATCCTGGCAGGCTGATCTATGTTCCCTGGTCTGTGAGGTCAGTTCCTGTACAGGGGTTTAGTGCATTTACACTGTTCCCCCACAGGCCTTTACGGTGCTGCTGCTCCAGTTCCAGTGCTGTGTTGTAGAGGGAATTCCTTCTGGTAATCCCGAATACACAGGCTGGGGAAGGTGTGATGTGCTGTGCTTGGGGCAGGAAGGCTGAGCCCAACTCCCCTTCCTGCAGGGAGGAGGGACAGGTGTGGATGGTGCTGGTCACTGCAGCTGGTGACAGTCTGAGGTTCACCAGTGCCCTGGTGTGTCACAGACCAAGGCAGGGACTCTGTGTGCTCCCAGAACTCTGTGAGGGGTTGGGCAGTGACTGACAATGCTCTGTTGTGGGAAGTGCTGCCCAGAGCTATCATGGTTGAACACAGCTGCAGTGTGTTTCCTCTTCCTCCTGTCTGGGATCAAATGGTCGTTGTTCTGTTCCAGGTACAGATCCAGGGATCTGCGGGACATTGCTGCTGTCCCTGTCCCCAGCAGTGTCCAGGGTGGATCTGCTCAGGATCCTGTGTGCCTTCACACAGGTCTGAGAGCTGCTGTCCTCGATGCTGCTGATACTTTACTGGTATTTTGTAAATTGGTGGTGATTCCTGGAGGATTTACTCAGTTTTGTGTGTTTTTCTTGTAGTTATTAAACTTGATTGTTTTTACCTTTTATGTTGTGCTTCCCTTTTTGGATATTCCTTTGGCACGTCACTAACTGATGATTCCTGGCTCACACTTCTCATTGTTGATGTTCTGGGGTTTTCTCCTACGCACTTGCAGTTATTCCATTTGGGGAAATGGCCCCTTTGAACATGCCTGCACAGACCTCCCATGGTGATGGTGCACTTGGATGCAACTGATTCCAGCAGTGTGAACAAAGTGGCTGCCTTGAACTTTTAACAGCCCACAACTTTTGACAGCCCACAACTTTTGACAGCCCACAACTTTTGACAGCCCACAACAACTTTTGACAGCCCACAACTTTTAACAGCCCACAACTTTTGACAGCCCGCTCTGGGCCTTGTTTGCACATCTCACAGACGTGCCAGATGAGCAGGGGAAGTGCTCTGGGCTTTTGTAATTGGCACTGGCACCCCTGTGAGCTGTTCCCTGCAGAAGAGAGTCTGTGGGGAATGGGACTAAGTGGGCTGAGTGGGAACACAAACTTCTCTCCAACCTCCTGCTTAAAGTGCACTAATTGGCCTCGGGGGCAGAGCTGGTGCTCACACCTGGGTGAGGAGCCTTGGGACTGGCTCCAAGCTAGCCATGGACAGATGGAGGAAGGGATGAGACTGGCAGAAGGTGCCGCAGCTGCCCAGGAAGGACCATGAGCAACCATGAAGCAGAAGTGCTACCTGGTGGTGACAGGAGAGACTTTCCTTGCTGCTTTCTGAACACAAGTTGGCCAGGAAGAACCAGTGACTCAGGGCTGGTGCTGGGACCCCACTTTCCATTTCCAGGCTTCTGTAGATGTTGAACCTGCCCCAAACTGCTCTGCAGGAGGAATGGCTTTGGGGACAACAAACAGATGCTTCTCTGCCAGTCCCTATGAGGGGGCTATCCTGAAACCAGTGCCAGGCTCATCACAGTGGGACATGGAGGAAGAGGCAGCAGACAAAATTCAGACAAAATCCACCATTTTCCTTGTCCCTGTCCCCAAAGGAAGTCACCTCACAGAAAAAAATAAATAAAAAAACTTCAGCCAAACAAAAACGTCCAAAGCCAACCAACCAAAAACCCAAATCAGACACCTCCAGAAAACTTACATTAAAACTGACAATTTTTAATCTGAGTCCCAGTGAGCCTTTCCTATGATGGGCAGACACACCCTGTGGGTTTTCCCAGGATCAACACTGAACAGGAATGCTGCACTCCCACCCAGGTAGTACAGGCTTGGTCAACTGCTGGGTGGTCCAGAACCCGTCCGTGAGCCACGGAACTCTGAAGCTTTAGAGTCACAGTGGGACCCACTGCTGGCAGGTGTGTTCCCACAGCCTCTCAGGTGTTCTCCCACAACCCCCCAGGTGCGTTCCCACAGCCCCCAGGTGCTGTCCTGCTCAGCTATCCCCAGTTTATTCCTGCTGTGAGGGTACCTGCATCCCCTGCAGGAACAACAGCAACTCCCACGGCTGAGCATCCACTTGGGATGTACTGGTTCAGGGGAGGGCTTTGCTTTGCATTCCTGAAAGCTGTCTTAAACGTTAAAAATGAGATGTTTCCTCCTGTCCTGCTTCCCACCTGCTCAGCCTTTTCCCCACACCTGTGATGAAGAGTCAGGGGGCCTTTTCAGGAGCCTCCAAGAGGCACAGGGACACGAGCCATCACAGAAACACCAGGATACAACTTGAGCCAGGCCAGAGCAGAAGCTGTTTATTGCTGCAGCTGTGAGGGAGGGCACAGCCCCCAGGGACAGACACACTGACACATCTGTGCCCAAAAGGGAGAGCACAGCCCTCAAGGACAGACACCCCACTGCTCAAAAGGGGCACACAGACTAAGTTCATGTTCCTCTGCTCCGTCCTGCAAATGTGGGTCATCCTGCAAATGGAAACCCTTCCTGGGAACAAAGGCCAATTTGGCTTTCCCAGTGCTCTTTTCCTTGAACCCTGGTTAGGATGAGATCCAGAGCTACAGCAACTGAAAAAGGTTCCACAGCTCACGTCCCTTCTGCCTTGCTTGGACAAGAGTCAGTGTCTCTGCTTTGCAAATTGCCCCACTGGGAACAGGACACGCTCCTGCAGGTTTGCTAGCTGACAGGTGTGGCAGCCTGGGTAGAAGAGACACCTTACATCACACTCATATGCTCTTAAACCATCCCACCTTTCCCACCTGGAAGTGGACGGGAACCAAAATCCTCTCGGGCACAAGACAAAACATTCCCTCAGACAGTGTCAGTTTGCTCCTTGATATTTCTCTGAACGTGGACACACCAGGCTGAGCCAAATGAAGCTGATAACATGGCAGAGGCTGAAGCAGAGAGAGGCAGCAGTTTGGAAGGGAGCAGCTTGCACAGTGCCTGTTTCACTGTAGAAGTTTGACGTAATTTGCTGGGAAGAGGCCGACCCTGCCGTGGCACTGCCCCCGCCACCAGCCTTCGTCCACCATCTCGATGTGTGTGATTGTGTCGGCTGGGTCAAAGGAAATCTCATCATCTCCCTCTGCAAACATTGTCCAGAAAAGACAGACAGTCACAGTGCAAAGAGAACCCCAGGCATAGCTGGTTCACATCCCTCCTCCCACCTCCCCTGGGCAGGAGAAGATAGAACAAGATAACCCCCAAGAGTTCAACCTCACCCAAACCCCATCAAGCAGCACAGACAAGGCAGATGAGCAAGACCTTGCAGGTGACAGATGAAGTTTCTCTGTTCCTGTCCTGGTTCTGGCCAGGACAGGGTTAATTTTTTGCAGTAGCCTGGTGGGGGCATGGCCAGTACACTGAAGTTATTCTGTACCACATCATTGCTGGGGTGGGATAAGGACTGTCTTCTGGGGAAGAGGGGGTTCCTTCCACTTGAGAAATGGTGGAGGGAGCCCTCCAGTACTGTCTGTTAGTCCACTACTGTCTATTAGTCCAGTGAGTGTTTTTCCACGTGAATCATTTATTTTCTTAAAACCTTTAGTTACTAATATTGTTGCTGTCACTGTTTGTTTTCTTCTCTCATGGCTGTTTGAAGTAAATTGTTCTTATCTCAGTCCATGATCTTTGCCCTATGGGCCTCCAGTTGGAGGGGGATGGTGTGTGGGTTTTTTAGTGGGACTACAAAACTGGACAATACCATTCCTAAACTACCACAGTTCCCAAATCAGGTCTCATTCTGCTTCCTATGAGGAAGAAATTTACCCCCCCAAGCCACAGTCTTTTCCCCACTGCTGAGGGTGTGACCCCCCACACCCCTGGCCCCTGCCCTCCCCCAGCCCTGGTGGCAGACCCACCTCCTTGGTAGTCGTAGAGAGCCACTGCGCAGGTCCCGGGGCCCTGCCCCGCACAGACCCCCCCCGTGTTCGCTGCAGAACAAGGATGGACAGGTGAGACAGACACTGAGGCAGCCACACAGCCCGGGCAGTGCCACCCTCCAGCCCAGCTTCGGGGAGCACATCCAAACCCTGCCAGCAGGGAGAGGTGCAGCACAGCCCAAAGCAAGGTGTGACTTCCTTCCCCTCCCACAAAGAGGGAGTGGAGTCCTGATACTTTGTGTTCCTCTCCCAAGAAAAAGTCTGTGCATAACTCCAGCCTCCCCCCTTGCCATCTCCAGTACCAGCAAAGCTGCGACAGAAGCGCTGACAGCAGCCCATGCACTTTGCTCCTGTGCTTGGAGGAAGGTTCCCTCACTCCTCACACCAGGACACCCCACCACAGCAGGTCTTGGGAACACCAGCCATGTGAGCAATGGGCTGAGCCACAACCCCCAGGCCCCAGCACACCAGTGGCAGCCACTTGCCAGGAAACCACGGCAAGAGCACCAGTACACATCCAGCTTCTCCTGAGCCACAGCACCCCCCCCTCCTGCCAGGCACTGCTCCAGCAGTTCAGCAGGTTCAGCAGACATCTGCTGCCTGCCCCAGCACTCTGTGCAGCTCATCTGCACCTTGGGGATGGACAGGGGAGTGGAGACCACCGAGTCTCCATCATCAGGAGCCGTTACCCTGACCACAGGAGACTTCAGGACACAAGTTCCCTCTCGACTCTGTGCCATACATCCACTGAACTGAGTGGATGGGTACAAGCTCCCCAAGACATGGGCTATTCTATCAGTACTCACCCAGGTGGGGCTGGCTCTGGCTGTGCTCCTGAGGAAGGATCACCTCATAGTCTTCTCCTCCATCTTCCCCAAGGTCATAGATAGCATCTGGCTTTCCCAGTGGGGCTGGCAGCTCCTCATAGTCAGCACCTCCACTGGTACTGTCACAGTAGTCAGAGGGCTCTGGCAGCTCCTCATAGTCTCCACCAACATCCAAACTTTCACTGTAGATGGGCTGATCCTGGCTGGGGACCTTGCACAGCTCTGTGCCCAGATCTGCTGGCCTTGGTGGCAAAGTGGGTGGTGCTTCCTCATCCTCCCTTTTGGCCTCCTGCCACGAGGTGAGAAGGTGACAAGAGAGTCACTTGTGAAGCACCCAGCACTCTCCCAACTCCCAGCACCTGGCATAAGGCAGCCCCTTCCTGGAGCACCATCCCCTGCACACCAGGGAAACAGCTCAGCCCCTCGGGCGTGCTGAACTGGCACCTGGCATTGCTCTGGAGACCCTCAGGGCACATGTGTTTGAACCTCTGTTCATACTTCTCTCCAGCCCACGGTGCTACCACTGCACCTCCCACTCCCAGAGCCTGTCCCAAGGGGTGCTGTGCAGTCCCATCCCCATCCCAACACTCCCCCTCGTCCTTCCAAAGCCTCTCACACAAGGGCCCAGCCCCTCTCAGGTGCAATCCCCTCTGCCTGCTCCCCTTCCCGGCTCTCCCACACTGCCTTGGCACCTGCTCTCCTGGTGACACGGGTTGGTCTCCATGGGCACTCCTGGGCACCTGTGCTGGCACAGCAGCAGGGGCTGCCCCAGTGTGCCCCTTCCCTCTCGGTGGGATTTCCTGCTGGAGAAGAGCCATCAGATCCCTCAGTCCCTCTGAATGAGTACAGAGCAATGGCTGTTCACATTCCCAATAGAGCAACTCAGAACATTTTCCTCCACCTAGAATCTGTTCCAGCTCCTACAAACCTGCCCTGGGCCTGGGCACTGGCAGGCTGGTGACAAGGGTGGGGCACCCCTGAAGAGGAACATGTTGGAGGGGCTTCACTGTGAATCCCACTCTGCCCTCTGAGTGCAGGAACAGCAGCAGGTGGGAAGGCAGGTAAGCATTGGGGCTGGGTGCCATCTCCAGTTTGGTGGGGTGCATCCCACATGCAGACTGCTGGGATGGCAGTGCTGGGGAGGGGTGACTGCACTCTTTGACAAGCACCAGAGGCAAAAGGAGCTGAGGCCAAAGCACTGGGGCCACGGCTGGGTGCAGGTACACCCTGATCTCTGTGCTGAAAAGGAAAGTCCGGTGACAACTGTGGAGCTCAGTGACCATTCGTGGCAGATGCAGGGAGGCAGTTTAGGCAAAAGGTTACTCTAAAGAGATCATCTGGAAGGACATGGAGCTGCATGGCCATGAGGAAAAGTCTCCTCCATGAGCCTCAGAGGACACAGCAGGACAGGCAGGGCTCACCTGTCCCCGAGGTGCCGGGCACTGCCGGGGCTGTCGCCGCAGCCGCTCCTCCTCCGCCTGCCTCCTGCTCTCCTCCTCCCTGGCCATGTGTTCAAACTGCCACCGCAGGCTGCTGGTGCTGCTGGAAGCTCCTGCAAGGAGACAGCCGACTGAGCCAGCCCCCAGCTCCCTCCCACCACCCCAAGCATCCGGGAGAAACCCAGACCTCCACCTCTTCAGAGAGACTTGCAGTTCAGCCACCTTTGTCCTGCCCCCAGCACAGGCTGAACCCCCATCCCATCTACCAGCATGCTGACACAGAGGGACCATGAGGCCCACAGCTTCCCAGGTCCAGGGCTGGGACTCATATGTCTCACCTGCCTCCAGGGGTCTTGGTTTCTCGTAGGAGGAGGTGGGAGCTGCCATCTCATCAAAGCCAGCAGCACTCTGCAAGAGGAAGTGAAAGAATTGTCCAGCTTCTTGGGCAAGGCCAGTGCTGGGTTTGGCTACTGGTGATGGCAAGCACTGTTCCTAGGTGTGTCTGTCCTCACCTGTACACTTACCCTGACCCAGGGGAGGCTGCTGGCTGCAGTCCCCTCTCCTGACACCTCCCTTCCTCTCTGCATCCTGCTTCCCAAAGGACCCACAGCCCTGACTTTTACCAGGTGCTCATCTGATTTCACACATGATTTTCTGCCATGTACAGGATGCACCTTTTTTTGTCAATGCCCCTCTGCTTGCTATTGTTAAATTCACAGGTAGTGCTAATGTCTTCTGAGGGCAGGACACCATTCCCTCTCCAGCCCAGCCCAGACATGCAGCATGGACAGGAACATGTGTTTATATCCTCCCCAGCTTCCTCCAGCTCCTGAGTTCGGTGATGTTGGTGCTGTACCAGGCACAACACTGTGCCCCTGCACTGTGCCCCACAACAGGGAATGGAGGGTTCAGGGAAGGCCCCCTCACTGCCTCCAAATGCCCCAAAGCCACAGGATTCCCACCTCTTAGTTTAGCCACATCCATGAGGTTCATCTCCAACTGGCAGGACCAAGACTGCAGGGCAGCCTGACACACAGAGAATTAACTCCAGTGCTTGAATCTGAGTTGTGACTGTAGGTGAGGCTTTGTGGGGTGTCAGCCCAAACAGAAAACCCGAACCAGCCAACTGGGTGACCTTTTCTCATGCACAGCAGATTGAGCTGTGCTAATCCCACCCCTGCCAGGGTTTGTCAAAGTGTGCAGGCAGATTTAGCTACCTGAACAGACCACAAGGCACTCCTTGATAGGAGAGAAAAACCTGCAGAAGTTAAGAAACAGCAGAGGAGTTACAGATAGTGCCATGAGGAATTCCCTGCATTACAGTCTCCCCTGGCTGCATCCCTCTGCATCCTCTGGTATTTTACACTGAGCCAGTTCCCTCTTGCCACCTCTGTGCCCTGAGCACTCTGAATCTCACCTCCACCTGGGAAATCTCTTCTCTTGCAGGGCAAGGAGTGGTGATTAGTAGGAAGCAATTGAAGGCTGCAGCAGTCTTACCTTATCCACTCTATCCTTCTGGACCCCATACCGGCCTCCAAACCCCTTGGCATAGTCTGTATGGGGAAAAAAAGGAGGCTATTTTACAATATTTTATATTCTGTGTGCACATCTGGCTTCAGTATGCTGTGACCAGTGACATGAGATGAGTTAGCTTTGTCTGCATCTTATCACATATGGAAGTAACTAGAGATAACACATGCAAAGTCCTCTGGACAGTGGCTTTTAGGACTAATTATCCCTCCTTTCAGCCAAGGGCACAGGAATGCAGGGCTGTAGCTGAGTGGAGTGTGGCCTTGTTCACTGAAGTCAACTGTGCAGTAGCCCCCAGATTCCTGGGATCTGTTCTGCCTCATTCCTCTGTGCTTGCCTTTGCAATGAACTTGTGGTCAGGAAGGTCCCTCACAGAGACAGCACAGCAGAGTTTGAGCAGGCTGACTGAGGGACTCTCATCCCATGTCCCCCACTGGTCCAAGCAGCCATCTACCCTGGCAGTTTGCCCTTGTGTTTTGGGGCTCACCACACCCCAGCTGCTCCAGAACATGCTGGACACATTCCATTTTCAGCAGCTGGATCTCTGACTATGAACCACAGGCTCCGGGTCTGTGGTGCTCCAAGGAAACTGCCACCACCTCTGGCAGCGCTGCCTGACCTGTTTGGGATGCGTGGGGTTGCACTTCCTCCTGATGATCCCAGCCAAGGGCATTCTTGTCCTGACGATCCCTCTGGACCCCAAACTTCCCACCAAAGCCCACAGAATAGTCTTCAGCCACAGGGATCCAGATCACAGCATGGAAGAGAACAGGCAAGGGAGGGAAGGAGACAAGTGGCAGCAGTGTGAGCTCAGGCTGTTCTCACAGGTTTTCCTTGCCCAGGACTTAGAGAAAGACATGGAGCAAGGCCAGATTTCCCCACTGGTGGCTGCAGCAACAGCCTTCCCTCCTCCCTGGGACATGTCACCTGCTATTAGCACCCGCCTGGGCTTCCCCAGCACCCTTCCTTTGGTGATGTGCTTCCCAGGAGATCCCTGTGCCCACAGAACTCTGCTGAACTCTTTCCAGCAGCCATGCCATGGCTTTCCTCACCTGACCTGTTCCCTTGCTGCAAGCTCCCCATAGCTATTCCACCATTCAAGCAGCAGATTGAAGAAGTGCTGCACAGTGCCCCCCAGTCCCAGTGGGCACAGCCCCAGCTCCAGCCCTGGCACTGCCTGTTCCCTCAGCTGCCCCAGCTCCCCTGGCTGCCCCAGCTCACCTCTCTGAGAGTCGTGCTTCTCTGCCTGGCTCCTGTAGTCAAATCCCACAGCCGCCTTGTCCACCTTGTCCCTCTCCACTCCGTAACGGCCACCAAAGCCCCTGGAGTAATCTGAGGTGGTGCATGGAGTGAAACCCTGCCCCCTGCACGGGGCTGGTGAGGAGAGGACAGGAAGCAGCACTGGGAAGGAGCAGGGGGGAGGAAGGAGAGCAGTGGGGCTGATGGAAAACCCCCTAAAAAGCAAGAGGTTGAAGGGGACAGAGTGGATGGCAGGGAGCATCATGGATGAGAGCCCATGGGAATGGGGCACAGGGCAAGTGTGGGCCAGGGCAATGGCAGGCACAGCCAGCTGGGAGGGAAGGAAGGAAGAAAATGGATGTGTCAAGGACAGCGGGGAGGCAGTGGGAGCACAGTCACCCACAAAGGCAAAGCCAAGCAGGATTTGGGCACTGATAGCCAGGGGATCACCCACTCACCCAACTCCAGAGCCAGGATTTCAGTCTGTGGTCTGCCAGCCTCGGGAAAGGGCTGTGAGTAAGGACACTGAGCCTTGGGAGTACAGGAATGGCAGAGGAGCTCATGTTTGCTATAGTGGAACCTCAGCTTCTACAAACACCTGACCCTGGAGCTGCAGCAAAGGCTGAACCCCATTTCTGCAGACACACTCCTGCTCTCCCCACTTGGCCATCGTGTGACAGCTGCCTTGTGTCTCTGTTTTCCAGCTCCAAACTAGTGATCCATTAACAACTTCAGCCATGTTCAGCTGTTCCCTAAGGATCACCTGGTTAATACTGGCTCATTCCTGAGACATTCCAGCCTCCCTCCTGGCTGCTGGCTGTACAGACTCCTCCTTTCAGACACCTGCCAGCTCGGTCTCCAAATCCTGCCCTTAAGGGGTAAATCACAGTCACCTCTCCCTGTTCCCTGATGCTTTTCTACAGGTCTGCATTTCACAGGACTGAGTTGGGGCTTCTCCAACAACTTCAGCTATACCAATCCATGGAGACTGTGTTGTAGAGGTAGCTGCATCAGGACATTTTTTATTCCAGAATGGATCTCTGTTTCACAGAAGCTCAGTCACCTAACCTGTAAGTATGAACAATTCTTAAACTTACCTTGACTAAACTATTATCTATCTATTAGGCTGTTATGAAATGGATCTTTAATGGAGCTGTTTTCAGCAAATGCAGATTTTATGACTGTTATCTTGCTGCTGAAGCTTCTAGTATAGACACATTTTTATGAAAAGCAACCCAAACTCCCTACTTCTTACAGTTCCATTTTGTCCTTAGCAACTTCTGTAGTTTCACACAGCCTGATGAATTTCTATGTCTACAAGAATATGTTAATGTAGCATAACTGCATGGAATTAATTATTTTAAGATCAACCAAGAATGCCTCAAACTATGTTCCTTCTTTTATAGATTCCTCTTAAATGAATCCCATTCAGTTATTTCCTTGGTAATGCAGTATTCCTCACATTTACCTGAAACAGCAACAGACCTTGCCCTTTCATCTTCTTTTGGGTGCAGAATACTTAAAATATCTTTAGTTTCACTTCTTGCACTATTTGTTGAATCTGCAGAATTCTGCAGCAGTTTGAGTGCTCTACAGGCTTCTGTTTCCATACCCATTGCTGTGCCTTTTCCTACAAGTTGTTTCTCCAGCAGTCACTCCATGTCCTGAATGGCTCTTCTGGAGCTGTTCTCAGAAGGGCTTTGGGAGGACAGGGAGCACGAGCCATCCACTGGAGGGGGGTGGGAATGTCTCCTCTACTCAGCCAGGACGTGGCTTCCACCAAAGCAAAGCACAGAGACAGGGGGATGTACACCAGAAGGATGGTGACAGGACAGCATGGAATGGGGCCATGAGGGTGACAGACTGGGAACAGGAAGCTGAAACAAGTGACAGGAGGGGGATAATGAAGGAGATTGTGCCACAGCCAACAGCACGAGATAGTGGGAGCAAAAGAGCAGCTGGGCAAAGTGTCAAGGGGTCACACATGCCCAAGGACTTGCCTGTCTGGGACGAGTGTTTCTCCACCTCACCCTTGTATTCAAAGCCCACTGCTGACTGGAACAAGAAGGAGAGGGCTTACAGTCAGCCTGAGGGCCAAGCCAGGTTTCAGCCACCCTCCTCTGGGGCCAGGCTGGAAGCCTGCTCTCTGCCTTGTGCCACAGAATGCTGGGCAAAGAGCACAGCCCCAGGATGGACAGCACAGCCCCTGGACAAACAGCACAGCCCCTGGACAAACAGCACAGCCCCTGGATGAACAGCACAGCCCCTGGACAAACAGCACAGCCCCTGGATGAACAGCACAGCCCCAGGATGAACAGCACAGCCCCTGGACAAACAGCACAACCACAGGATGAACAGCACAGCCCCAGGATGAGCAGCACAGCCCCAGGATG